CTGGGCGGCCGGGGGGTGCTCGGCCAGGGGCTGGCCCGCGCCGCCTCACCTCCCTCTCCTCCCCCCCCCGCTTACCTGCTGCCTGCTTCCCGCGAATCAAATTTTCGCGGGAAGCAGGGGAGGGGGCGGAGTTGGGGCGGGGACTTTGGGGGAGGGGGCGGAGTTTGGGCGGGGGGCGGAGCCGGGGCCCCGTGGAGTGTCCTCTTTTGGGACACTCCACATATGGTAACCCTATGTCTGGTCACCCTACACTGGCGCCATTGTAAACCCAGCACTGGCTCTGCCCCCACACGGCTAATGGTGGCAGCCGAGCCCTGGAGGGATTCGGCCTGTTGTGGCCATGGGTGGTATTAGCCCTGGTCAGAGCTGGGCCAGGTCTAGGATTTACCCTCCCCCCCATCCTGGGGGTGCCCCGCATCCCACGCAGGGCACGGGCTGTCGGGGGGAGGGGCGCTTAGTGACAGCAGCTTGAGGCCCAGCCCCGCCCCCTGCTGTGGGAGAGCGCTAGGATGCCTCCCTCCCCGCCCCTTCCGCAGCCTCACTGTGGAACAAAGATGGCGCGCGGCTGAAAGCGCTCTACACCGGGTCAACTGCCGGAGCGTACCATTCTCCCAGTGGATCATCTTCTCCCCCCCCCACCTCCACAGCAATGGTAAGGCTCACTTCCGGACGAGGACCGGAACCCGGAAGTGTGTGGCACTGGAGGTTCCCCGGCTGCTCACAGGTGAGTAATTTCTTACTGATTATCGGCTCCTTATCGCTTAACCCCTTCCCGGTCTCGGTCTCGCGAGAACAGTGGGGATTGGCTTTCTTCCTCTCCTGCCCTCAGCTGGCGACAGGGGTGGGAGGCTTGATGGACTGTGCGCGCGACGATGCACCGACGTTCCATGCGCCCCGCCTTCCCCTCTCGCACGCCGATCTCTCTCCCCCTCCCCAGCTGGCGTGGCACGTGCATCAGCCCCAACTGTCCAGCCCAGCACGTGCCCTTCGCCGGCGGTGGGGGGAAGGGAGAGGCTGTTACGCTGCGAGGCCCCCTGACTGTCTCTGCCCACACCCCACCCTGCTCTCGCACCAACACTCCCGGGGCAGTGCTATTAGGGTGGGTAACTCGCCCCCGGTGTGCCCAGCGCTGGCCTGTCCTCGTGCGGGTGACTTGCATCAGTGTCCAGTGCAGTCCCCGTGTGGGTGAATTATGCCAACACACCCAGCTGCACCCTGTGTTCAAGGCTCACACCATGCTCTGCCCACCTGGGAGTGGGCTGTACCCAATGTGCCTAACACCAGCCTAAAGTGCCAACACTCCTATTCCTGTGGCTGGGTGAGTGACATGTGCCATTGCACCCAGGGCCCCATGCATGTGACTTGCACAAACCCGCCCAGACCTGGCCTGTGTGGGTGACTCATGCCAACACGCTCTGTGAATCTGACCCCATGGGCTGCCCCATAAACCACTTGCTTTCACTATTACTAATGAATGGTCTTTATCAGCTGAGAAATAATATTGCTACTCATCAAAGGGCTTAATAAATAGCCCCCCCCCCCCCCCATCCCTTTCATACTGTGCTTTCCAGGCTTCTGATTCTAGGGCCTCTTCAGCAGAAGCCAGTTCTACCAGTGAACATCCTCTATTGAAATTATTCTGATATAGGTGTGGCCATACCATTAGAATTGCTTTTGTTCTCTAGGAGATTATAGATACACTGAAGCAGGGGGTAGGGGTTCCAGCTGCCCTGGTTCTCACTGCCCTGTATCATTCATCTTGTGAGTGTGGCTCGTGGGACAGGTAAGAGCACTGAGTTTGTTTCAGAGTCTACAGCGTGATGGCAAAATTTGCTGATGCACATATGCCTTCTGGTTTCACAACATGATTATTAGATGGGTTTGGTTGTGAGACTGATGCAACATCTCCAGAGGCAGAATCTATGAGATGTTTCACTTGAACCAGGGGTAGAACAGACAGCCGCAGCTAGTACTAGGTTAAAATCTGCACTAGTTGTCTCATTGGTCCCTTTTCGCACCTCTGCAGGAATGTACCTCTCTTTTTTTTTCCTGTTTAGTTTTTATTTTGTTCACAGTTACTGTGTATAGCACTTTTCTGACAAAATGTGACCTTACTGTATAACAAAGCTAAATGGCACAAGACAGCCAGAGCATATATAAATGATGGAAAAGAGTGCTGCAAAGGGTTTATTCCACTGACCTCAGTAGAGTTAATCCTGATTTACAAAGGTGTGAGAGCCCATTGCATGGAAAAGATGAAAGTATTTATTCATAAAGGGAAAAGAAAGGAAAGAGAAATTCAGTGTGACATAGGCAAGAAGATAAAAACTTATTGTCAGACATAATTTGAAAAGGTAGGGAGATACAGGAAGGCTTTTCCAGGTGGCAGGAGTGCCAGAGTGGAAAGCATTTACATCAGGTGATGTGTAGAGGATTAGCATGAAAATGAGCAGGGAAGTGTGTCCAGAGATAGACGATTGGTTTTAAAAACAAAGGGGGATCATATTGAGCAGAATCCTGAAATAAATGGCCAGCTAGTGAAGTTATTTAAGAATTGGGTTGATATAGCCACACTATTTGATATGGCTGAGAAGGTGTTTTTCTCCACTCTTAAATGCCTTTGTCCTGGCACAGAGGAGGAATCACCTCCCTCTTTTGTCCCTGAAATGGAAATGCAATGTTGTTGTAGCCGTGTTTGTCCCAGGATATTAGAGAGACAAGGTAGATGGATAATATCTTTTATTGGACCAACTTCTCTTGGTGAGAGTGACAAGCCTTCGAGCTTACCTCTCTCGCCAACAGACGTTGGTCCAAAAAAAGATATTACCTCACTCACCTTGTCTCCCTAAAATGGAAAGACAGTTGCCAAAATCAAAATGGCTAGATCTGCTGTGTTTTCTTTTTCTCTCTGTCCTTAGACTCTCCGTTGTCTGTAGTGTGACAGAACCCCCCCCACCACTGTTGGTTGACATCTTTTATCAAAGCCCCTTGTTAAGTCTGTCATGGGATTAATATCTATATATTGTCAATGTGCAGCTGGCTTTGTGAAACCTAGTAATTGTCCATTTACACTCCTCATCTCTTAGGAATTCACATTCCCCAGTGAAAATGGAGACATTAAGGGACCTATCTGTGAAGGAGCTCCAGGAGCTGCAGGAGAATTCTGAGGAGATCGAGCGTCTGGCACTGGAATCAACAGAGGTAAACATTAACATGCATGCTGCAGGGTGAGGAAAGTGTGTGGATGCAGATAGGAGGTGCTGCTCCTCATTGGCTGTGGCTTTTGATCTCCCCTCTCAGGTCCAGGAACTACAGCTGGAAAGGGAGATGGCCTTGGCCACAAACCGAAGCCTGGCAGAGCAGAACCTGGAGTTCCAGACGCCGCTGGAAACTGGCCGCACAAACCTTTCCGACAGATACCAGAAGCTGCAGAAGCTGGCAGAACAGTGCCAGGAGCAGAAGGCAAAACTTGGTACATGTCTCTCAAACCACTCACCCTCCCAGTGCAGTCAGGTTGTCTGTAACCAGGGCTTCTTCCCCATCTCTCCCCCCTCTCCCCCCATTCCTGCTCAGCAGACTGAGGAGCTCTCTTTCTGTACAGGGGGTCTGTATTCTGAATCTGTCTTCTCCTGGTGTTTGTTCAGACTGACCTGGACAGAATAGAGATGATTCCCTACTCAAAAGAGACTGCACAATGTTGGTTTCTCCTTCGGTTTTCTTCCTATATTCAAACTTCCCAAGGCAGCAAAGGTTCCCATTGTGAATGTGAGGGGTTTAACAGAGTCTTGGTGGCATGGGGCAGGAAGGTGACGTAGTTTCTACTTCTTTATGCTTTGCTGGGATCATGAGTCAGAGCATAGAGCTTTGGGATAGGTGCCTAGTATTGTCTCTGAGAGAGCTGGAAACATGGTAATTTTGCCTAGTTTCTGTATGTCACGTTTTGATCATTGCATTTTTCCTCCCCAGAGAAATTCTCTGCGGCGATGCAGCCTGGGACCCTGTTAAATCTTCTGCAGGTGGAGGGCCAGAGGATCGAAGAGGAATCTGAGGTGATTCTAAGATTTAAGTCCAAATTAAAATAAAATTGACTAATGGCAATCTCCCTGAAAACTTGAAATTATCCTCCCTAACCAGCACCCTAAATTGGAGATTATCTCCCATAGATTGAAGCCATTGTCCTAAAGATTGGGATTATCACTCCTTTACGGTTGAGTGGTTTAATTGTTTCCATGTGATCTAGGCCATGTCTGAGAACATGGGGTCTGAGCTGGAGCTGGGAGAGAACATTGGAGGGGGCAGCAATGGTATCAGTGGTGTCTTGTCTTTCAGACTATGGCTGAGAAGTTCCTGGAGGGCGAAGTGCCACTGGAGATATTTCTTGAGCAGTTTTCCTCCATGAGGAAGTTGTCCCACCTGCGACGGGTCAGAGTGGAAAAGCTCCAAGAGATACTGAGGAAGTCTGAAGCTTCACAGGAACCAGCCAGTGACTCTCATTTTAACCACCAGCCTCCTGCTCCTCACATAACTCCTGGGCCTGCTGACGAGCAGCAGCCACAGCCCTTCCTATCAGGAACACCATCCTTCCCTTTGCCCTATAGTCCAGCCCCATGCATGCCTGTAGGCCCTACAGCCCATGGAGCTCTCCAACCTGCTCCTTTCTCTGGAGCACCAGTTATAATGGGACCCCTCACCTCCTCTCAGCCAAGCACCCAACCCACATTTCCCTATAAACCAGCTCCTGGATACCCACCTGGAGGCTCGACACCAGGATACTCCCAGCCTCAGACAAGAGGCTCATCTTCGGCCCCAGGGTACCCTTGGTCTCCATGCAGAGGTCCACCACCTGCCTCAGGTTACCCTCAATCCCAGCCCAGAGCTCCATCTGGACTAGGGTACCCCCAGCCTCCCCAGCCTCCATATTTCCCACCAGGAGGCGGAAGACCACAGTGTCCATACCCAACCCAGCCACCGCTACCTAGTTTCCCAATTCCATCCCAGCCTCCGTATCCCCCAGCTTCACATTCTCCCTTTGGATATCCACCACCTCGAGGCCCTGCTTGGCCTGGATACTAGTCAGTACTTCTGGAGAGCTTGCTTCATCATCCTCTCCTGTGTCATGGTCTGAGATATCAATACTTGCTGAGAAAAAAGCGAAAGAAGAAAGAGCTGGGAGTGTTGTCCTCAGACCCATACATGTATAAGGATTATGTATGATGAGAGGTGTGGTTCTGGCGTCATATACACGCTAGCAGCATGAGATGTAAGACAAAGTGACACTATAACAGCACATCCGAGGATTGCACTATTTTAGGTTTTGGTTAATGAATAATACCGTGTGATGACTGCTGGCATTCTTCAGTGGCTACTTGTACTGATTGATCATTCGAAGCCATGTTAGAAAATACAAATAGTGGGCCAGATTCTCTGCTACTATAAATGGGCAAAACATGCACTGATTTACACCAGCTGAGGATCTGTGTGTGAGATGCCTGTGTGTATATGGATATATACCAAAAGAATTCTAAACACACAGGTGTGTGAGAGATGGAGTGAGAATCTCGAACAGTATTTGACCAGAAATGCTCATATTGCTTCCCAGGGAACTCACTTGGAAACTAGATTAGCAGAGTCAGCCAGATTTAGAATCAATGCATAATTTATCTTGTCAATGAGAAGCGAGTAGCTAGCACGTTGGGATAGGTCAGCCCTTGATATGCCCCATGTCACTGTAGCATAACTCCAAAACCAGCTCCAGTCCTGCCATTCCCAGCACATTGCAGGGCCAACGTTTCCTTACCACTACAATTTTACTGCAAAGCAAAGGTCTGTCCAGTGCTGCCACTGTCTATCCACTTCAGCTGTTTCCAGCCTACTCGTAGGGAAAGGCCTCTTTAGCACTGGCCCCTTTTAGCTATGAGACAGGCCTCCTTTGCAGGATGTGGATTATCACAGAGAAGGCATCAGGGTCATGAAATATCCCTGGGATTCGATATGTGGAATATCAGTTCTACCATGGAGATAAAATGGGTTGGCGTGATGCTTCTGGAGCTGCTAGTAATTTGGAGGCAAGGCAGCATGTGCCTTGACCTATAGAAATCTGGGTGACTAAGCCTTATTTGCTGATTGATGGTGGAAAACAACACTACTATCCAAACTTTGGTAATGGTTCAGTGAAACACTGAGGCATGTAAGGCCTCCTGCAATGCCTCTTCCTCCTCTCTAGTGACCTGCGGTAGGGTTGAAGGTACACTGGATCACGAAGCATCTAGTATCCCTTGCATTTACCCCCCCCCCCTTCCTCCTATGTTGACCTGAGGAAACAATGGACCCAACAGAGAGAATGAAGGATTCTGAACATAAATGGTATTTTGCTTTGCTCCGCACTTACCTACCAAATTCTGTTTGCTTGCCTGTAAGTTATTTATAAAGATAGATGACTAATGGACTAGACCAGGTTGAATGCTTTTGGAATTTGATGGAAACGGTTCCCTATCTGTGATTAATTAGAGTAATAAAACTTGATTAATTGCACACAGGGTTGCAGCTGTGATTGTTTTGGGACATGAAGTGGTGCCTGGTTGAAATTTTTTATTGATTTTGGTTTTTTGCCAACTCAGCATCCTTCCATTGATTTCCCTTTGATCATGTCCATATAATCTTTCCTCTTCTGTCTCTCGCTGCCAAATTCTCTATGCATCATCCTTCCTGCCTTTCAGTCTGCAACCTACCCTAGGCGCCCATTTGTGCAATCCTCTTCTCCAGGGGCCAATTGATCTCATGCTTCAGGAGCATTTCTCCTTTACCTTCCTCTTCTGTGCACTGTAGTTTCTATCCTCCATTTTCCCTTCCTGCGCCTCATTCCTTTGTCTCATTCCCTTTCTGTCTTGGTTTAATACTGACCTCCTCAACCCTCATTTCTGCAGCTTTGGGTGTCTCAAAGCTGACCTGAACGGACCCTCTCTCTCAGCTTGAATGAGAGGGTAATTTCCTCTCCATGGTTACACACACCCAGTCACAATTACAAACCCAGCAAAGACTATTGCCAAAGTTTAAAAAAAAATTTTTTTTTTAAAGGGCGGGTCCTGTCATCTCCATATTGTTTGGTCTGTTCCATCTACAGCACCAGCTGAGCAGTTCTTTAGCGCCCAGAATGCATGGTGTGACCTTCACTGTGAAGAGCATTCTGTGAAAGAGAATTAGTCATTGATCTTCTGGTATTGGTTTTGTGAAGTTTTTCTAACTAGTTCCCTAAATTAATGGAAATATAAGTTCTCTGTGTGTTCCCCCTTGCTCACTGTTTCTTTATCTACTGGAAACAGCAACAATAGCACAAACTCATATGTTTCAAACAGATGTAAGGAGTGAGCTTTTTCTTCATTTTGTCTGGGTAAGAAGAGCATAGCTGGGTTTTGTTGTTTATTTCACAAGTAACATCATATGCCTGTTTGTGACATAACAGCTGGCTGCTGAGGAGATAATGAAATTACAGGACAGTGAGTTAAAACAAAGAATGGTTGGATTAACTCAGAATCAGATGTGATAATCTGTTTTCACACAAATGTTCTTTAGTCATAGGGAAGGAGACAGAAGCAGAAACTTAGAGTCATAGACTTTAAGGGCAGAAGGGACCATTATGATCGTCTAGTCTGACCTCCTGCACAACGCAGGCCAGAATTGGTTTGGTAAATTTTCTGCATGGTGTCACCATATATTTAATAGCACCACAGTGTGGGGTAGGGTGTGAAGTATATTTCAGGAGTAGTCTAAAAAATCTGCAAGTATCTATCTTATTTTTCTAGGAACTTATACTGCATTCATTACAGTGGTCTCTGGATGAGACTGAGTCTCCTTTTAGATTAAATATATTAAAGCATAATTTTGCTGTGATAAGTGACTACATAAAAATGTTACTGCCTTACTTCACAGGCCTGCTCCCTGTGTGTAGTCAGAGTTGGATCTGTTGATTTCAGTGACAAATAAGGCTTTAGTCTTTTTGACTCCTTAGCCCCCATGCAGCTTTGGAAGAGTTACTTAAATTCTATTCTGGGTCTGGCATCATCAGCACACATGTCAGCTAAGTTCCAGGTGCTGAATCTTTATTTATTGTCAGCGTTATGCAAGTCAGTAAAATCCCAGCTTAACTGTCAGATTACAGGCTGAGCTTGTGGCACTTAGTAGAAACATCTTTTCTCATGTCATCTGAGAGAACTGATATGAAATTCGCTGTAAGAAATAAGCATGGAGCTCGACAATGCCTTTTTGCCATGTCACTTCAGAACCAGGTTTTAGGAAAATCTTCTTCTTAATTTGTTTTACAATAGTGCCTGAATTGTGCTAGGCACTGGAGATGCACCAAGTAAGAGGCTCCAGAGGGCTTACTTCTCTTGTCTATTTATAGAGTATTATCATCCCCATTTTACAGATGGGGAACTGAGGCCTAGAGAGAATAAGTGGCTAGCCCACAGTCACCCAGAGAGTTTGTGGCAGAACCATGATGAAGCCAAGTCTCCTGAACTCCAGTCTAGTGCCTCAGTCCCCCCCGTCCCCCCCCCCGAAGGGTATTGCTCATTCTGTTGTATTGAAAAAAAGAAGCATAACTACTAGAAAAAAAGTTTTATTACAACTGTTATTGCTTATTAAATATCTCAGTCATGTTTGTGTTAAACATTAGCTCCTCCCACTCTCATCACACATCCAGCTTGCCTCGATCTTACATATGCCTTCTCTTCACAAACCTAGCCACGCACACCCCCACACATTACCACAGGATATTGTACTCCTGGGGTACTTCAGCCATCTGCTGAGCCAAACATGCATCATCACAGCTTCCTAAGTGATGTAAGAAGACAGTTTATTCATAATCTTTTCCATGGTGCTTATTACTCTGGTATCTGAGCACCTCACAGACGTTAATTAAGTTAGCTTCACAATATCCTTGGAAGATAGTGAAGTATTCGACTGATTTAGAGTGGGAGAGCAGGCATGGAGACTCTGCAATCCACTCCTCCAGGGACTAAGGCCTGGTATACACTTAATAATTAGATCAACCTAGCTACATTGCTCAGGGCTGAGAAAAATTTTGCACCCCAAACACCATAGTTAGGTTGACCTAACCCCCACTGTAGACGTAGCTAGGTCGATGAAAGAATTCTTCTATTGACCTAGCTACTGCCTCTCGGAGAGGTGGATTAACTGCATCAATGGAAAAAAATCTTCCATTAATGTTGGAAGGATCTACACTACAGCTTGTTATGTAGACATATCTTAGGTAAACAAATATCACCACTTCACAGCCCAAATGTAAAACACAATTTGGATATAAACTGGCCGTCGGGAAGTTTAGGCTTGAAATTAGACGACGGTTTCTAACCGTCAGAGGGGTGAAGTTCTGGAACAGCCTTCCGAGGGAAACAGTGGGGGCGAAAGACCTCTCTGGCTTTAAGATTAAGCTTGATAAGTTTATGGAGGGGATGGTTTGATGGGATAACGTGATTTTAGTCAATAGGTCAATAACGTGCCATCGCTGGTAATTAGTATCAATGGTCAATGCGGGTCTGGCTGGAGAATCTTGCCCGCATGCTCGGGGTTCTGCTGATCGCCATATTTGGGGTCGGGAAGGAATTTTCCTCCAGGGTAGATTGGCAGAGGCCCTGGAGGTTTTTCGCCTTCCTCCGCAGCATGGGGCAGGGGTCACTTGCTGGAGGATTCTCTGCGACTTGAAGTCTTTAAATCACGATCTGGGGACTTCAACAGCTGAGTCAAGGGAAAGAATTATTCCAGGAGTGGGTGGTCAGCTTTTGTGGCCTGCATCATGCGGGAGGTCAGACTAGATGATCATAATGGTCCCTTCTGACCTTAAAGTCTATGAGTCTATGAGAATTCTTACACTTGCTTGCCCTTAACAAACAACAAATCAACTTAAACACACACACAAATTTCCTCCCAGTGAGAGGAATGGAGAAGAAACCACAAGCAATGAATGCTAGATGAATTTGTCATAGGAAGGTGCTCACATACCATAGTGATGGGCATAATACAAGAACCCGAATAGAATAGAATACAGAGGTTAATGACCAACATGTAAAAATTAAATCCCCTGATCATGGGTGCCCCAAATTTTAGATGCCTAGCATGAAACACACAAGCCCATTGACTTCAGCTGGAGCTGTGAGTGCTCAATACTGCTGAAAATTAGGCCCGGTGGGTCTGAAGCTGTACACCAAAAAATAGAGACATGCACAATTAGGGATGCTTTTGACATGTTGGGCCTAAGTGACTTGCCAAAGGTCACTGGGGGGAAAAGAAGGCAGGCATTCTGATTCTCTTTGCCCCTATGCATGGAAAGGGATGTGTAATTTGGGGCTGCACTGACTCCCCCATCTCATGTCTCTGGCAGTGTGGGAAAAGCCTTTACAGCTGCATGTAGTAACACGGAAATGATTCCAGTGCAGGATCGTCTCAGGTATTTTTTTTCTTCTCTTCTGTCAGTTTTTCCAGTCGCCAGATGCCCACCTCTGTCTGCAGGGCAAGAAAACGAACCACGTAGAAAATCACTTAACATCTGCCAGAGTTTGAGAAGCGCAAATACAGCGATTGATTCAGCTCTCGTGTCTCCCCTCCCCTCCTTGGGTTTGATGATGACATGATTTGGGAATGGCTCAGCCTGGCGATACAGTGCCAAGGTTAGGGAATGGCTTACCTGGGGGAAAGAGGCTAAAGTCGCCGAGCAGAATGCAAGTCATAGTCACTGTCGGAGGAGTTGTCTGGAGGGTTGGAAGACCTGATCGCCCCTTCCAGAGCTGTAAAAGGAAGAAACCATCACTCTCTTCACTATGCAGCCAGAGATCAAGGTGCTAATGACCTCTGTGAGGAGTTCCAGGGATGTAGGAATGAATATCAGGTCCTCCATCCACAGTACCTCTTAAGTCATGCAGAAATCATAAGAGGTAACAACTACATCATGCATTCACATAAGTGACTTTCAGCCAGCTATCACAAAGGTGGTTATTCCCCCTCATTTACAGATGGGGAAACTGAGGCACAGAAAGTTTAACTGATCTGCCTGAAGCAACAGAGTGGAAGAGCCAGAAGAAGAACCCCTATAGAGTGATTCCCACTCTATTCTAGGGAAACACTGTAGTCCATTTCTGCAAAGCAGGCCTGACTGTCTCCCTTCCCTGCTCCCTTGTTCTTGCTGTCCCACACCTGGTCACTATACACTGTGCTGTCTCTTACCTGGATAAGCCGAAAGGTAGGAGTTCTTCTTAGGGGTCTGAGAATAGTCGTTGTCCTCGCCCTGTGCGCCTTGACCTTCCTGACGGGGCCTGAGAGTGACAGTGCTGTTGCGGTGGAATGAAACTAGATGGCAGCACAATGGAGAATTGTTAGTCACTGCATCTTTAAGGTAGAATCATAGCAATGTAAGAATCTACTCCAGTCCCCCCACGCAGAGGCAGGATTAAGTGTACCTAGACCATCCCTACTCCCTCTCCTTTTGAGCTGCAGAATTGTCTTATTGTTTAACCAACATACTGAGTCTTCTTTCAACATTTCCCCCCAAAGTCGTGGTTGAAACTCCTCACCCACATTCACCAACTGCCGGTAGCACCTCCCAAACCCAGACAGGCCAGCGTTTGTGAGTCAGCGGGGCTGAGTAAGAACTGAACCAGCGCGGGAACGCGGTGGAAGTGTGTACTGTGCCACTGGAATTGGAGTGTGACTCAACTATCCCATCTGAGTCACTAAAGAACCATTGAGTCAGCATGGGCCCAGGATGGGATGCTGCACTACGCGAAGTGATAGCGGTGAGTCATGCGTGGTGCTAAGAATTACAGTCCTGCAAGAAGTGATCAATAGGGGGCGTTCTTCCTTCTGAGCAAATATGAAACTGGCCACTAGTCTGGTGAGGAGGGGGTGTTGTGTTGCTGGAGGTGCTGCCTTTTGGTTGAGGTATAAAGCTCCAGTCCTGACCACATGTGGTCATTAACATCTCCATGTCGTTTAAGCTGGGTAATGACATTCTCCCTGCTTAAAATTCCCAGCAGTTTCAATGGGAGAGATTATCCTTCACTGCGCCTCCTTAAAGCTGTACAATGCTGCTGTGTTCCACCCCAGAGATGGCTGCATTTCAGAGGTGGGTGTACGATCCTTTTCTATACAGTGTTCTGGGATACTTAGTAACATTTCAAGGGATAGGATCTTTTGTCCCAGAGCCCTGTCACACATGATGTTCCTGAGCCCTCAGCCATATTTTCCACTTCAGACACATCTTGTACCTGGGCTGTTTTCTGGCCCTGAGATCATTCAGACAGCCTGAATGAAGGTGGTGACATGGTGGGACCAGAGGGAAACCTCAGCACCTGGGGTGGTTGTTGGCTGTAAACCACTTAACCCTCAGGCTGAACAGTAGCCATCCTGTTGCTGAGCTGCGGAGCCCAGGGGGCCTGTGTGTCTGAGATCAAACTGACCGCAGCAGTGCATCAGATGCTTCAGAGGAAGCTGAAGAGATGAGAGTGTTAGGGGTGACCTGCAGAGACCTGCCTCTGTCTTGTGCTTGCTCCTTACCGTTTTGCTGTAATCCAGTTGGGCCTATCCACTGGCGCTGCTGCTTCTTGGCGTCTGCAAGGAGAGGGAGAGGAAAGTGGGGTGGAGGAGGGAAGGGTGAAGTTAGATGGGCACAGACCTGTCTGTCATTTTATACACATCACAGAATCACAGGCACTAGGGGCTGGAGAGCCCCATTAGATCAGCTTGTCCCAGGGTTGTCCCTATGATGCATTTTCTAGTGCTTTGTCCGTTTGGATTTCACACAGCTCCAGCAATGGGGTTTTCCTTGGAGACCGTTCCCCATCCTGATTGATCTCACTGTCAGGAGCAGAGTTTTCTGAATGTTCTGCCTTAATTTCCCTTTTGTCTCCACCTAGCCCCATGAGCCACATCAAATAACCCCTCTGCTTCCTGGCTAGGCACTTGAAGTGCTAGAAATCATTTGGATAAGACAGGGCCTGGCTGTTCCTTTGTGTCATTTCCATGTTTAAGCCTCTCAGGAGCCTGTGAAATACACAACACTGGGTGACTCAAGAGGCTTTTCCATTCTGAACTCCTTTCTTATTTTGCCTGCATTGTGTGGACTAGACAATTATGGATCCCGAGGAGAGGCATTTGTGGTGTGTTTCAAAGAGTGGGAAAGGGACAGCTCCAAACCCCTCTGCCTCAGGAACTCACCTTCCAAAAACTGCTGTACAAGATCAACAGGAGAAATGTGTGTGTGTCTCCTGAATCCTCAAAGGGAACAACATATAAAACTCCTTTTGTTTAAGAGCAATGCATCAGCCAATGTAGCTCTGTGATGCCACTGCTCCAGAGGTGATGGAGTGGGAAAGAGGCCGAAAGAAGGAGAGGACAGGGGAAGACAGCCAGCAGCAGAGCAAAAGGAAGAGAGAGAGAGACTAGGAGAGGGAGAGAAGAAGACGGGAATAGACATAGGAGCTAGAGACTCCCAGCTGTGTGAGTGAGATGAGAACTTGCCCCAGACTCCTTGGAGGAGTGAAGCTGAGGGAGTCATACCATAGCATGTCTAAGGGCAACAGGATCAGTGGTCTCACACCTACAGCAAGAGTTTGTCACGTACATTTCTTCTGTAGTTTCTTGTAGGCGGGAGGTCCACAGATAACGATGAGAACTCCAAGGAGGATCAGAGCCAGGAGGATGCTCACAATGGTTCCTGCTCCCACTCCAGCTGAGCGTGGCTTGAAATTCTGGCCTGGGAAAAGGAGCTGCAGTTACTAATTAATTCCCATATCTTCAGAGACATGCCAGTGCTTCGGACAGGTTTGACAGCTTAGCCAGCCTCTGGTGATCCTCAGAAGAGTCCCACCTTAAACCCCAATCCCTCCACTCCACCCCAAATACTCAGTTACAACCCAAAATCCCCATGTCAAGCCCTTCCCAAACTCCCAATCTAGATCGCAAACCTCACTCAACTCACATCTTCTGCCCTCAAACACCACCTTCTACCCAATTTCCAACCCCAGCAATTTGCAAAGGTTGATTGTAGATCAGGCAAATTTCTCTTCCTCCCCATTTCCTTAGTGCATCAGCCACATGTGGGTCTTTGTCCCCTTTGAGTGGCTGGTCCACGTAAAAGATTTATGAGTCTGCTACTGCCACCAGGCTAAAGGCATTAGTTCTTTAGCCTAAGAGTAGCAGCTCATGTGAGCTCCAGAGATCCTGTGTTCCATCCCTATGGATGACCTAGCCAAAGGGTCATCACCGGCCTGTTTCCTGATGTAAAGTGGTCCCACCCTGTGAGGGACAAGCGCTGCTCTAAAACACAAGAGAACCTGTTGGCTTACACGTGACTCTGGTTTTGGAGCAGGTTGTTCTTTGGAAAGTGGGACACTGCTGGAGGTGCTCTTGGCTGCAGGACACTCCCCGTGTCTTGGCACCTTGGACTTGGACGCTCAAGGAGAGGTTCCCGCACTGCAGCTCTTGGCACACCTGCTGCCCTCTAGATTTCCTCCATGGACTGGAATCGCACAGAACTTCCCATTTCCCCTTATGGAACACCTCCATGACCCCTTCGCAGGGGCTCTGGCTGTCCCCAAGGCTTTGCATTATCCTTGGCTGGAAACCTGGGGAGGAGACAAGCAGGGATTGGTGAGACTCCATGGCCAGTGGATGTCTGAATGACCCAGCTGACTATAGGCTATGTGGCCTAGTGGGTAGAACACTAGCCTGACACTCAGGAGACCTGGATTCTGTTCCCATCCCTGCCGCTAAACTCTTGGGTGATTGTGGACAAGGTACTTCACTTCCGTGTCCCCTCCCACCCTTTGTCCTGTGCAGTGAGAATGGAAGCTCTTGGGGGCCGGAGCTGTCTCTCATGATGTGTCTATACAGCGCCTAGCATGATGGGATCCTGATCTCATATGAGGCCTTCAGGTGCTGCTGTTATACAAATAATTCATAACAATGGGCAGCCTGATGGGATTCCAGTGCATTTGATACCTAATGCTGCTAGTTAATAGTGTTTTATGTGGTGTACGTGGCCATGAAAACCACCCCATTCACTGCTGCATTTCACAGCCCGTGGTACTGCACTAAATTCCTATCTATTCCAGTGTTGGTTAGACCCCAGGCTGGGGTGGCAGGTGCTCCGAGTTCTAATCCTGACTCACTGTGTGATCCGGGGCAAGTCCACGTTTTTGCCTCCTGTAAAATGGGGACGATAATCATGACTCATAGGGAAATTATAAGGGTTAATGATTAATGTGTGAACAGTGCTTGGAAATCCTCATCTACAAGCGGCTAGAGAAGTACAGAGTATTAGTAAAGCAGTATTGTACTGCATCATATGGGATATTAATTGCACTGTATTGTATCATATGGCCTTGCATTGCAATGGATGCTATCTATGGTACTGTGTTTCAATGACATTGCATTTCCATGTGTTGTGCTGCAGAGTATTTATATTATATTTGCATTGTATTGCATTTTAACCTATAGCATTGCATTTGTACGGTGTTGCGTTGCATTGGCTTGCACTGTTCTCAACCCAAGAGTCTGAAAATTCTCGGTCAGAAGTAGTTGTTACTAGAAATAAACTCGGTAATAATTTTGACTGACAGTCGGCATTTCTGAGGCTAATGCAGATGATGCTGTTGTGCGGAAAAGTGATGCCAATCTTGACACTTTTAGATTTGCAGACTAAGGGATGAGGGAGGAAAAGAAGAGCTGAGGGTCAAAATTGCTGGCAGTTACAGGCAGCAGAGGCCAGAAGTAGGTGTGGAGATAGAAGAGAGGGGTATATTTTTGAGGAGTTTCCTTGCTATTCTAGAAATGTTGTACCACAATCTGACACTAGGTTCACGGCCATGCAGGCTGCCAGTGGAGTGAGTCCCCTCTGCCCACCTCGTGCAACAACTGGGCTACTGGGATGGATTGGCCTCTTTAGAGTGCACAGGAATAAAGGTGAAACATGGCAGGAGAGGAAAGCAAAAAGGAACTTGACTTGGCTGTCCTAAGATGGACTCACTCACCGGAGCAGATGACAGAGGCTGGGGTTTTGTCCTGAGAGTTCCTGGTTCTCTTGAAACAGTCTGGGATAGAGTCACTTCTACATGATGCCACCATCTCCCAATGGACAGGTAGACGCTGACTTTCATTTTTCATGAAGAAAGGCCACTCTTTCCACTCTAAGGCATCACCGCAGCCCACCTTCGGGCAAACCCAGCGAGCCAGCTCCATCTCGTTTTCTGGACTTGATTGGACCGTTCCTGAGTGGCCTCCCATGTAGAGCTCCACAATCCCTGAGCAGTGGAACCTCCCATCTACCAGGTTCAACCTGGGTGGGCCTGGGAGAAGGACAAAGAGAAGGGGATTGTTACGGACAGTGACACCTTCTCTACACCATGGCACATAACTTACCCACATTGCCTGCGATAAAGGCCCGGGGATGCCTTTCTGCTGCTTTTTTTTGGTCATATTAACCAGGGGAGTATTTTGGTATTTTCTCTCCCTAGTCATTTGATAGGTGTAGCCTGGTAGGCTCCAGCTGTGGTGAGCTGTGGGTGATTGTTAGGAGACAGCTCGGGCCCAGTGGGTAAGTGAAATCCCACTGGGGGCACGTACCTGCATTGATAGCATATCCCTCCCCACCACCTTCCTTATTCCAGCTTCTCGTCTACTCCTGACACAATGGGAACAACTGTTAGGGGTGTTTTCCAGCCCGCATCTGCTCAGCCCTAGGGGGCTGCTGTGACCCTGTGGGGTAGTTCAGTTCCTGAGCAGAGTTTTCATCAATAATTGAAATTAAATCACCCAAATGCCCATTAAATTGAAAATGTAATGGAACTATCTATCATCACCATACAGATCTATCTATGTAATAATCAGAGTAACATAGAATTTGCCATACTAGATCTAATTACTGCTCCCTCCCCTGCTTTACCATAACAGACCATTTTGTCTCATATCTCACCCCCTGCCAATGCCATACTAGATTAGACCATTGATCCATGGAGTTCAGTATCCTGCCTCCTGCTGCACCAGTTCAGACAGCTGTCCACCTAGTCCAGTATTGTGTTTCCACTAGCAGCCTGTACCTGATGCTTCAAAGCCAGGTGAAACCCCCATAATCCAGCTTGCCCAATGTGCAGTGCTGTTCATTGGGGTGGGAAAGGGGAATTATATTCCAGCCCCAGGATGGATCTGTTTATGCCCCTGAAGTATGAGATACAATTATCACGTTTTAGCTGGCCTCCCTACAAATGTTATTATCCATCATAAGATCATCTGTCCCTCTTAAAAACCCATACACAGATGGCTTCCTGCAGCAGTGAGTTCCATGGGTAGATGTCTCACTGTGCAAAGAAGCATTTGCTTTGATTTGCTAGATGTTAATTTCACCAAGGGACTCCTTTCATTTCTTGCATCATCTCTGCTAATGATAACCTATAACTATGGTAACTTGCAACCATTTCTATCAGAAGAGTGAATGTGGATCTGAATGGATTTGGTGAACCTGGGTTTGTGGAGTTTCCTTACCAGTGGGTTCTGGTGTAGTTGGTGGTGGTGGCGCAGTGGTGGTTTTTTCCGGTTCTGAAATGATAAGGATGTCCAAAATGTTTTAGTGGGTTGCAGACCCAGCCCCAGGCAAAAGTTCTACGGGAGGCAGTCAGGAAGGGTGTTATGTTCACTGAATAGACACAGAGAGAAATTAAATAAAAAAGATAAATTCCCTTGCTGGAAGGTTGCAGTGTAATTCTACGTTATTTCTTAGAATTCAGAACAATAGCATATGAAAACTTAAGAACACACAGAGAGAACACAGGCCGCTCCCTAAGGTAGCGAGACACAACTCACCCACCTTGCTTTAAGCTGACTCTTTTCTGCCTGAATCTGATTGTAAGCAGGACCAAGAACATCTGTTCCTCTGCTCTTAGTGGTAACTTGTAATTCCAATACAGTCCTCAATACACCACAAAGGGGAAGACGAGACCTACCTTTGCAAATCACGGTCAGAACCTGCGTGCAGTTGGATTTCTCCCAGCGGCAGTTCCTCAGGTCAGCCCCATTCCCCGGGCAGTCCGGCTTCATACTTTCCATGTGTTTCTGTTCTGAGTCTATTTTGAGAACCTCACTGGAGGGGGAGCCACAGCCCAGCTCTGCACAGACTATTTCTGTGACCATCTGGTTCCAAACACTGCTACAAACTCTCTCCCAGCGGCCCATACGGTTAACCTCCAGCAGGCCTGAACATCTGCAGCCAGAACCTGTGAGTCTTGTGCGCCACACTGCTGAGAAAGTAAAACAGCACGTTAGAGAGAAGAGCAGTGTTTAGGAAATCTCTCCTCTCTCTCCCCTTGTGTCTGTCTCCCTCTCTTTAGCTTTGTCTTCTCTGCCTCAGAAAAGTGTGTGTTTTATGGCAGGATAACTAGTACACGTTAGCTCCCCTGCTGTACAATTCCAGTGGAGACAGGGCACTGTAGTTTTTAAATATGCAAGACTGATTGAGGCTGAGCAAATAATCGATTTTTCAGTTTGTGGGCTGAACTGAAACATTCAGGAAAAAAATCAGTTTGGTTTGAACTGAAACAATTTTTTTTTTCTGAAACGAAACAACAACAAATCTTTTCAGGTCAATCAAAACATTTTTTTTTTTACCCCAAATGACATTTGTTTTAGTTTTTTTTCATATCAGGTTAAACTAAATGTTTCATTTGATCCCAAATGAATTTTTTTTTAATTTTCCTTTCAGTGTTTTTCACCCTTTGTTTTTAAATTTAGCTAAACTTTGAAATGCAACAAGGGGGGGAAGGTAATATCTTTTCTTGGACCATCTTCTGTTGGTGAGAGAGAGAGACAAGCTTTCGAGCTTACACAGAGCTTCAGACTTTAGGAAGAGCTCTGTGTGAGCTTGAATGTTTGTCTCTTTCACCAACACAAGTCGATCCAATAAAAGCTATTACCTCCCCCACCTTGTCTCTCTAATATCCTGGGACCAACACGGCTACAAAACACCACAAACAATTTGAAAGGAAACATCATTTTGAAATGGCTAAAATGGACTGTTTCGACATTTAAAAAAAAAATTCATTTTTTTTCAGCCAACACTATTTACCAAATTTAACCCAAATTTGTGAATAGTTCTGGTGCCTTGAAAAATGCACTTTTCTGCAAATTAACTATTCACCAACCCTCCCCCCCCCCCCAAAAAAAAAATTATTCCCAGAGCTCTAGTGCTGACCTGACCCTTGTAAAAGCTACAGGTGCCTTGTCTCCACTAAGATTTTATAGTAGGCTAGTGAATGCATGTTAATTATCCCCATGTAAACCCCCACCTTTTCTGCAGTGAAGTCAGCCTTCAGCTCACTCTGTCTCCTGTTAGTTCCCTTTGCTCCAGTGCTGTCTGAAATGTCAGCAGGTGTTTTGCGAAGCAGAGCAGGAAGGAAATGGTGCTCGTTTGTTTGTGTGACTCTCAGATGTGTAGTAGTGCGTGTGTGTGTCTCTGAGTGTGTAGACACACTAGTATGCATGGGGAGAAAGCCTGCCTGTCTAGCTGGTCTATACTAGAGCAATGTCGCTGACACTGTTGCAGCTCCATGATGTTAAAACACTGGGAGCCTTGGGATAGATGGGCTGCCAGGTGGATTAGCCTTGGGGTGATCAGCGATAGAAGACATGATGCTAAAAGCCCGGTGGCAGTTAGCAGTATGTCTGCATTAGGGCTCCCAGCATCGCTAACCTCAGTGATGCTGTTTGCAATGGTGGGAAATTTTTGCAAAACTTCCCTTCTGTAGCTGAGGCTTCTGTGCCCCAGAGGTGTTGAGGGGTAAGTATAGTCATCGGAGCCTGGGTTGCTTGACTCAATCCCCCGCAAAGATTTCTCAGGGTCCGAGTCGTCCCAGGACTACGAGGGGGGAGCTGTGCCTGGTTGGCTAACCGTTGCTGCAAAGACATCCTGGGGACATGTCCACACCAGGGCCGGGAACCCAGCATAAGTCTCTCTCATGGTGCCGCAGAACACTAAGCCGGTTGCTGACAAGCTAAGTAACTGACGGCTGCCTGATGGGATTTTATTTTATATTAGGGTTACCATATCTATTAAATAAAAAAAGAGGACCCTCCATGGGCCCTGGCCCCGCCCATTTCCCCACCCCAGCCCCGCCCCAAGTCCGCCCCTTCCCCGCTCTAACTCCGCCCCCTCCTCCCTCCCACTCCCAGCCACGGGGAAAGGGCTGCCCGAGCGCTACCGGCTTCACGGTTTGCCGGGCAGCCCCCAGACCCTGCGCCCCCGGCCGGCGCTTGCCCAGCGCAGCTGGAGCCCGGGAGGGGAAGCGCCCAGCCGGGGGCGCAGGGTCTGGAGGCTGCCCAGCAAACCGTGAAGCCGGTAGCGCTTGGGCTTCGGGCAGCCCCCTTGCCTCCGGACCCTGCGCCCCCAGCCGGGCACTTCCCCTCCCGGGCTCCGGCGGCGCAGGGTCCGGAGGCATGGGGGCTGCCCGAAGCCGGTAGTGCTCGGGCAGCCCGGCTCTTAAACAGAGCCGAAGAGTCAGGGGAGGAACAGAGCCACCATTTTCCCGGACATGTTCGGCTTTTTGGCAATTCCCCCCGGACGGGGGTTTGAGTGCTGAAAAGCCGGACATGTCTGGGAAAAAGAGGACGTATGGTAACCCTATTTTATATCCAAGATCAACATGGCTTGAAAGAGGCTTCAACAGATGCACTGACCTGCAAAGTTCTGGCCTTCCCCACCGTGGCAGGAGGTCACTGCAAAGAGAAAAGACTGTCAGGAAAAGTGAGGTGGGCAGGGCAGCCATGACTTCAGTTCAAACCTACTTCTCATTAGGAACCAGGCAGCTAATGCTGCGCCATTCCCCTTGGCCAGGGACCCTTGACACCTGGTTCTAAACTGTGCTCCCACTGAGGGACATTTCCTGCTAGAAGCATCCTCTGCATCTTCTGTCCATCCCTGCAACATTTTTGGAAGAGCCTTCACTATCCTTCAATAAAACCATCACACCATCTCGCAATGGAGCTAAGCACAGACTATCAGGCCTCAGCAAAGGATTTCTTAGGGCCCAATGAGGCCAGTACAGAATTAATCCCTATATCAAGCATGTTTTAAATGTCCTGAGTGATAGAGCTGCCGCTGCTTCCATGTCTGGAGCCTTTTCTGATCCACTGTTTAATTATTATTATTTATATTACAAAAGCACCTCAAGTCCCAATGGAGACTGGTGCCCTGTGGTGCATGGAACAAACACATAGTGAGGGACAGTCTCTGCCCCCGAAATGCTTAGAGAGACAAGACAGGCAAAGAGTGGGAGGGGAAACTGAGGCACGAGAGGGGAAAGGACTTGCCCAAGGTCACGCAGTAGGTCAGAGCTGGGGATAGAATCCAAGTGTGAGGCAGCGACCTCTTGATGCCCACTGGGAGAGGGCACAGGGGTGCATAAGGGTTCCAGGAATCCCCTGGGTCTGGTCTCAAAGGGCGTTATGTAAGGGCTCTGCTGAAAGCTTGTGTCATGCTGATCAGCATCACCACTGTGAAATGTAGGTGTGGATAATACGTAAGGCCCTGTGTATATATTCTAAAAATTAGGCTCTTCGGGTTTGTGAGTTGGGGGTGGTCACCAAAAGGTGACATACAACTTTCTTTCCAGCAGGAGACGCTTATCTAGCTGTCTGGCTATATGCAAATTGGGTACTGTTTGCTTCACAATGAACTAGTTACAGTCTGAGTCGAATGCTAATCAAGAGATGGCAAAGTCTCCAGGGTTGATTCTAGACTGGAAATAACAAGCAGCAGGGGGGTTCCCCATTTACAAGCGAAGACACTGGATTGTTGGAACTCTATCTGGGAGTACAGAAGTACCCCCGTTATCCATCACCTAGGAGAGAAGCCTCCAGCATGCTTGTTTAGTTGGCCTGGTTGTTAGGTGCTGGGAGAAAGACTTTGGGTGAGCTAAACTTCATGAGCCAGAAAAGTGTCTTGTTAGTTAAGTCTAGGCCTGGACAACAGGAGGTGGTTTTATTTGGCACGTAACCAATTGTTTCCAATATTTCTACTTACTTGCTATGACTTGAACCTCTGTTCCTTGTTAAATACACTTATCCTTGATTCCCCTATAAACGTATCGACGTGTTGTGAGTTGAGCCGAGCGGTGAGCTGAAGTGTAACTGGGAAGCTACAGGATACTGTTCCTTTGGGAACAGCGGCTGTGTGAATTCTTTTCAGAGTAGCAGCCGTGTTAGTCTGTATCCGCAAAAAGAACAGGAGTACTTGTGGCACCTTAGAGACTAACAAATTTATTAGAACATAAGCTTTCGTGGGCTACAGCCCACTTCTTCGGATGCATATAGAATGGAACATATATTGAGGAGACATATAAACACACATACAGAGAGCATGAACAGGTGGGAGTTGTCTTACCAACTCTGAGAGGCCAATTAAGTAAGAGAAAAAAAACTTTTGAAGTGATAATCAAGATAGCCCAGTACAGACAGTTTGATAAGAAGTGTGAGAATACTTACAAGGGGAGATAGATTCAATGTTTGTAATGGCTCAGCCATTCCCAGTCCTTACTCAATGCTAAATTGATTGTATCTAGTTTGCATATCAATTCCAGCTCAGCAGACAGACTCCAATGAGAGACTGCAACCTCACAACCCTGGAAACCCCCGGGAAGTGTCACATCAGGTCTCCTGAGTCTCCATCTGGGGCCCTATCCACTAGCCCACCCTGCCTCTCAGTGTGTGTGACACATGCCCTGCCAATGGCTGGCCTACAGACCTTTATGAATCTGGCCCTGCTTCTAGGGGGAGGATTCACTCCTGCAGCTCGTGTCCTTAGTGCTGAAGACCTTGGGTGCAAGCCCTGCCAGCACCCCAGTGGGATCATATTCACATCTGTAAACCCCATTTTAAAGGAACTTTGGCCCAGCTTGCTTGAAAGCATTCGGAGTGAGATGGTAGCAGCTCCAGCACCTTCAGCGATCACCAAAGGCTGGGTGCAGGGGTAGCTGCAAGAAGGATGGTGAGGCTGTAGCAAAACTAAATGCGTTCTCTGCCTCGCTGTGTGCTACTGAAGCTGGTGGGAAGCTGTGCATTGCAGGTGGATTCCTACCCCAAGGGCTCTTTCTGGAAAATCACCAGGAAGCCCTCCCCAGCTGTGATCTTGAGGAGGGAGTGGGCAGCGAAGTAAGGACATCTGCAGAGCACACAGACTTCGCTGGGTTAGTACAGCTGGTGGTGGTGCGCCAGGAGCTCATGGAAGTGGGGGAGGAGATCAGGCTCGGGGAGAGGAGTCTGACTCTGATCTAATGTAAGACAATGCATGCTGGAAAGAATGGTCAGAGTGTCTCACATGCGCGGATGGGCTCCGGTCTCATGGGTTACTTAGGGGAAAAGGACATGGGGCCAGAGAAAGGCTGTGGAATAAGAAGATACTAGTCCATTATTGAGATCAATAGGGTGATCTACATCAGCTGGGGATTGGGTGCATTGACTTGTTGATTCCCATTGAGCTATGGCCAATTTACACCAGGTGGGGATCTGGCCCATTATATCTATATGGTCACTTTTCAGAGTAAACCTGTGCTTTTGAACCCTTATCAAAACCAGCTCTGTATTCTGCAATGAAGGCCTGACAGTGCCACCAGGGTAAGCTGTAGCCGTTGGGCCCAGCACGGTAGAATATTGTCATGTATTTTTATAAGCAAATATCCCCAGGCTCTTGGCTCTTGTGAATTTTTTGTTATTATTATGATCCTTGTATACAATCTAGAATTGTAACAAGATGCAATCAGTGGATAGACAAACAGGGGAGGGATGGGGTAGAGGACAAGGTATCAGGAAAAGATGGATCCATTATACAGAATGGCTGTTTGTACCTAATCCACAGCCGGTGTAAATCCGCATTAGTATTTAGGACCGATCGTTTTGACTGGTTGAATTCACAGGTAATTTCTGTTTGGATGCACATTAAAAAATCACTACTAGACCTCACTCCTAACTGCTGTGAGCTAGTCTGTTAGCATTTCAGATTTCTGGAGGAAGGATATGCTTTGATCTCTTGTGCATCCTAGCCTTCCTTTCCCCAGCTTGACTGTAACTCAAGATTTTTGCTATTGATATAAAGACTCAGGGCCAAAGCCCTAGATGGTGTAAATCAATCTAGCTCTATTTGATGTTAACGCAGCTACATCAATTTACACCAGCTGAGCATCTGGCCTTCAGTTTAATTAAATGTGTAACATGCTTAACGGCTTTCCCTGTTGGCACATCAGTTAGTCACTCCCCCTTCCGTTGGGTGATGCTAAGTTAAAGCCTCTGTGGAAGACACTGCTGCTAGTATTTAAATGGTGGTTCTAGTCAGTCTGTTCCAAAGAGATCATGGTGTTCCACACTGATTCCCACCTGTGAGTCTAGATACGACGTGCTCAATTCGCAAATCCACAGCAGATAATTCTAACCACTGTAAGCGCCACACGCTCCCTGCGGGATCTGGAAATCCAGCTTAGCCTTTCCTGCCTCCTGCACCATTGTCATTGCCAGGAATACAGAGTCAGCGCAGGCAAGCCTGCTGATGTTGCCCTCCGCTCACTCTTCCACAGCTGTGCAATGCTCACAGGACTGGTGCAAGGACAATCTGCGGTGATTTAAAGACACCGTGAGGAAGGGGCCATGTTTCTATGCACTTTCCCGCTCATGTCTCACCTGAATTTTGAATTTTGGGATATTTTTAAATACTTGGACCCAGATCTCCAGCTGGTGCAAATCAGCATAACTCCATTGGAATCAATGGATCAGAACCCCAGCTGGTGTAAATAGGCCCTAGCTCCATTAGAGTCAATGGGGCTACATCAGTTTACCTCAGCTGAAGATCTGGCCAATAGTATCCTTAACACAGAATGTAAATAGGATATGGGGTCTTGGGCAGGCCGTCTGCACTAGCGTGACTTTATAGATTCACTGGTGATCAGCTAGTCTGACCTCCTGTACAACTCAGGCCTTATAAAATAATTCCTAGAACAGATCTGTTAGAAAAACATCGTATCTTGATTTAAAAACTGTCAGCTATGGAGAAATCCACCACAACCCTTGGTAAGTTGTTCCACTGGCTAACTACCCTCAACATTAAAAATTGACACCTTATTTCCAGTCTGAATTTGTCTAGCTTCAACTTCCAGCCGTTGGATCATGTTCTACCTTTCTCTGCTAGATTGAAGACCCCATTGTGATGCTGGCAGACCAGGTGCCAGTGCTTGCCAAAGCCCCAGGCTTCACTGAACACTTACAAATGCAGAACAGGAAGCTAGGCCGGTGTGTTTCACTCTATGCATCTGAAGAAGTGAGCTGTAGCCCACGAAAGCTTATGCTGAAATAAATTTGTTAGTCTCTAAGGTGCCACAAGTACTCCTGTTCTTTTTGCAGATACAGACTAACACGGCTGCTACTTTGAAACTTGTGTATAGATCAAAGTGATTGTTAAATGTATAAGAATGTCTTTGGTGTTTGAATGTCATGAAAACGAATGGGATGCTGCGTGCATTGTTATCACTTATCTGTATCCTGTTATAATGCAATGGCAAACATTTACATTTTGTGCGTCGCTGTAACTAAATAACTAGGGCTGTCAAGCGATTAAAAAAATTAATCACGATTAATCGCGAGATCACGATTAATCGCACTGTTAATAATAGAATACCATTTATTTAAATATTTTTGGATGTTTTCTACATTTTCAAATATATTTCAATTACAAC